GGTGTTATTTCAGTTAACTTTTTTAAATGCGAAGAGGTTAGCTAGATAAGAAAAAGGTGTAGGGGTCTGGGATTGGAGAGGGTGCAGGCCGGGCTGAGGGATCCCCTCCCCTGCACGAATTTTGTGCACCGAGCCTCTAGTCTATATATAAATGCCTAAGTGACTGAATGACCAGTCACTATGATGTGCACTGACCAGCAGGGGGCAGACGCACAACACAGGAGCTGTCCCCTTGTGGTCAGTGTGCTCCCAACAGCAGGAGCACCGCTCAGCTGACCGACCCATCTGTCCCAGTGGCCCACCAGCCCGGCGGCAGCCACTCAGTAGTCCTGTAGTTCCAATCTCCAGAGAAAGAGCCAGGTACCAATGGACCAGCACCACGGGCCTCCTGGAAGTTGGCCTTGGGCACTGCAGCCGCTTCCCCTCCCTAGATGCTCCACAAAGAAATGATATAAAAGTGGCCGCCAGATGGCTTCCAACCAGCACAGGGATCAGCAGGATGGATCTGGATCCCAGGCTGGCAAGGGTGTCCCACCACCCACCCAGAAGGTCGATTGTGTCCTGGCCCTCCCGCCCCTCAGGAAGGGCGCCAGACGCAGGGCTCTCCTGATCAGGACTGACAGGGCGCAAGTCTGCAGCAGACGCAATGGGGCTGGGATGAGCAGGACCAGCAGGCAGGAGCAGCAGGTGGCATTGGACTGCAGGTTTCAACCCGATCCCCGCAGGCACCTGAGGGACCCCACCCGTGCACGAATTCGTGCACCAGGCCTCTAGTATGGGATAATGATGGAATTAGAGTAGTATAGCATATGGCATCTGAATCAAATATTCAAACATTCATAACTTCAGCACCTATGTTTTGATGTAGATTGTGTCTCAAACAAGAGTTCTTACACTTCCAAGGAGTTTGTAATGTACCAAAAGAAAAAATGTGGGGGAACTTGGAAGGCCAATTTCCATTAATTTTAAGTGATTTAAAATGCATGTATTGCTTTATTAAGTTTTTAAATATTTAAAGTTAACACTAAGACAAAATCAAAAAACAAATACCTCAGGGATATTGAGCGCAGCTTTGTTTTAATTAGTATTTATTGAGTGCCTACTATGTGCCAGGTGCACCACACTAGATGCAAAGGATACTAACAGTAAATAAAGTATGGTCCCTGCCCTCAAGGAGCTTACGTTTCCACAATTTAAAGTGCATCTCAAGTATCCTGCTAACAGAATCCCACAACTCTCAATTTAATTTTCAGTGTAATCACATCATAGCATACCTACAACCAGTTATAAAACAATGTTAAAACTAAAACATACCTTTGATATTATTTGTCCAACTCCCGTTTCTTAGAAAAAATTGAAGGAATGGCCACGTGCCTAGAACTCATAGGTTGTTTTTTTGTTTTGTTTTTTAGATTTTTATAAATACCAACATTCAACTCATGTAACATACCTGTACAGTTGTTTCCCGCAAGACAAGGGCTTTATAATTCATACCATATTAAAATAAATGTATGCTCTTTTATCCCATCTTATTATTTGCAATAAACCAGAGGGATCAGGATCATCCAAGTGCTGAACTTGGCTATAGCTTCCTGGGCCCTCCTCAGAATTCAAGACTGGACAGCACCTGCCCGTCATGGCCTCACTTCCCCATACTTCTATTTTCACAGTGATCCTGAATTACTCCACTTGACACTGAGACCAAACAAATTAGGAATGGGTGCTGGAAAATAAGAAGAGTAAATCCCACAGGCAAAAAAAGCCACATTCATTGGAGTAGAGAGAATGACCAAAAGTGTGAGGGCAAGGCCAGAGGCCAACATCTGGTAGGACAGTGTCAGGGACAGGAAGTGAATCCCTAGTGTTTCTGAAAGGTGAGGAGCACAATAGTATTAAGCTCACTTTACCAGCATCTACTATCTTAAATGCGGTTACCCAACTTACAAAATGAAAAAATTTCTCCCCAATTTTAGTAATTACTGAGGACTATATTTACCTCTGTTACACTAGAGCCAATTCTGTGGTAGAATGGGCAGTTTGAAAAGTTCCTTTGACTATAACTGAACCTACGAGTAAACCTAATTTCTAAAACCAAGAATGCTCAATTTCTCCCTGTAGAACCAATAAGATTTTGACTTCACCAATCAAATTTATATGTCCAATTACAAGTAGGTAAAAGGAATGAAAGACAGTAAAAACATCTTTTACAATGCTTCTTAAAATATATCTTTATTTCCTTCAATGTGAATATTTTTAATGTGTTGTGAATTCATCAAATATAACCATTTAGGACTGTTTTTACTACCTCTACTAGTATGGACAGATAAATTTACAGGCATTATTTTGAATGTAGTCTACTTCAGTTAGCATAATTTTATGTAGGGAGTTATATCATTTGAACTTACATGTGGTGTAGTTCATGGGACAAGCTTCTGACCCTGAAGTCTCACTTTGAGCCTGGCTCCCAGCTTACTAGCAGTTGGGCAAGCCAAGCTATCAACCCAAGACTCAACACGTCCATAAAACAGAAACATGACATTACAATCTATCCTATCTACATCACAGGGTTCTTGTAAAAATTGACTAGGTATCAATATACATTGAATTTTTTTTCAACTATAAAGTA